GGCTTCTCGGGCTCCAGCGCCCAGAGGAGCCCCATGGGCTCGAGCCCCGCGAAGCTGCCCCCCAGCGCGGGCGCGCGCGTCAGGTCCAGCAGGCCGCCGGGGCCGGCGCAGTAGCGCGCGTGGGCCCGGAAGAGCTCGCCCTTCTCGTCGCGCAGGGACGCGCGCAGCGTGACGGGCTGCCCCGGGGCCAGGCCGCTGACGGCGATGCGCACCGGCTGGTCCCAGCAGCAGTGGCCGGCGGGCTCCACCGTCACCGTCGCTGCCATCCGGGCAAAGGTTGCAGAGACCGGGTCACCCTGCTTCCACTTTAAAGTCCCTGGCAACTCTACCCACTTCTTTCGGCAACTTCGGTAGAGTCCGGAAGCTCTCAGGACAGCGGGGCGTGACAACATTTTGTACTATAGACTTCGAGGCCACGGAACAGGCTGTGGAGACGGCCGCTGGTTAGCGCGCCTCTGGCGGCAGGCTGCCCCTCTGCAGGCTACGAGCCCGGTTGTGACGGGACGGCCGGCTAAATTGAGCTTGGAGGGCTGCCACAGTCTTGCCTTTAAAAGCAAGAGCAAAAATAGACGCCCATGAATTTGCTTACAGCCTCCCTCTTTCCTTGACCTCAGGAAAGAAATTCCAAGCTCTTTGGCTTGTGAAGAGTGGGCTGGACCAATGCTGACCCTGAAAGAATCTGGCATCCTGGCAAAATGCTAGTAGCCAAACTCAAAGGTGAAGAGGAAGGAAGGACTGGGATTGGGTTCTGTCACTTCGTTGGGCAGTTCACACCTCACTAATTATAAGCCCGAAATAGAACAAACCCGAAGGATCCGAGTTGATCCAATTGATGGGTCGTTACCTGAACACAGGACACAAACCAGAACAGACACAGGGGAAGAAACAATAATAGGATTTATCTTCACAGGGAGTGAGAAAAGAGAGCCCTGAGAGAGAATGTACAAGCAGCCACTCACCAGATAGATAGGGTCTGTCCCACCCCAAATACCAAAGATGAAGCCCCTAGTGGCAAGCTGGTGGCTTCTCCACAGACACCACACCTCACCAGCAGTGTACTTGCGGAAAGCCCCAACGCTATTTCCCATCAGCTCCTATCAGGAAGTGGAGGATGCCCAGCTCCACCATCCATTTGGGTATGAGGCCCACCTACTGACAAAGGTTGGTCTTCTCTATTCCTTTTACAGATCTTTTCTTTTAAAATGTGCACTATTTTGTGTATATGCTTCTTATGCACACCAGCCCATATCCGTGGGCCTTGGTGTTACACCTCAGCTTCATCCATATCACAGGTGTAAAAGTGGCCAAATGCATACTTTTTTTGTTATACTAGACTCTCACTTTCTCCATTTAGGTAAAGCTTACTTTACTCCCATCTGCAGATCTCACCTTACCGCTTTTCATACATTATGGGTTCTGCCCAGTGGTGGATTCTTCATTAAATTTAACTTTGGGTCCCTTCCAAGGGCTGGAACTGATTTTCGCATTCATGATTTTTATACCCTTTTCACTAGAAAATCTTTTTATTTTTGTTGTGTGAGCTCCAAGTCACAAAAGCCATTGTTTGCGTCTGCCTCCAATAAGGCTACCCTCAAGAGCTGTCCTAGTCTACACTTTCTACCAAGTTCCAAATGCCCTTATGCCTTGCAAATTAATCATGTATCTCCCTTTAGCTCTGTTTACAGTGGCCCCCCCATTAACCACTGTCCAAGCTTCCTGTTACATGTAGCCTGAAAATATTATGTATAATATTTTGAGAGTGAGAGACCACATTCATTCATGTAACTTTTATTAGTTTATTGTCATAACTGGTCTACTTTATTATTATTGTTAACCTCTTACTTTGCCTAATTCATGAATTAAACTTTATTGGAGATATGTATATATAGAAAAGATGTATATATAGGGCTTGGGTACTAGCTGCAATTTCAGATATTTATTCAATACTTGGGGTGTTGGAATATTTTCAAGTGTTAGATAAGAGAGGAATAATATGTGCTTTTGTACTGGTTCTGTGGGATATTTTAAAGTATGTTTTGTGTACAAGAGTTTCAGAAACTAAAGCTCTCTTTTTACCCAGCAAGAAATCATAACTTTATTAATGATAGAAACAGTACAAATTTAAACCCAAGTTGCAAATCATGCTTTTGAAACACCAAAAATAAAAAATTATCCTCCTTTCTAATGGTTACATTGTTAATTCCACAATAGTGTTTACAAAATCATGACTCTTATTCTTCAGGGTCTCTGCTGCCTTTACTCTTCACCCACTTACTTGTGACATGACAATTCTACGTCCTTAACTTCCAGACCTGTTTTACCAGCCTCTTCTCTTGTACAGCTGGAGTCTGTGTTTTCTTGAATGCTTGAGACAGCTTTACCTTCAACTTTGAATTTCTTGGTAGCAGACAGCTGGGCTTATTGATGTTGATAATCTGGGTTCTAGTAGACATCTGGTACTGTGAGGGACAAAGAGGATATTCTTAGCCTTCTGGATAGTGACTCTAGTAAGCCCTACATCTTGTTTTGTAGGGGTTTGGCCATAGCCTTCCATGCCTTCTTTTCACTGAAGCTCTGTTTTGCTTTACTGACTTCATCAATTTCAGTTGCTGCTGCCAGCTGCACTGGTTGCTTGTCTTTGCGGAGTCCTGTTTCTCAAGCTCTGGTTCGATTCATTCCTGTAAAATTTTGTTCCAGACCCTGTCTCCGTCTGGCTGTGGCAACCTTCCATAGCAAGGTTGTTTTCTGTGACTTCACTGGGCATTTTGTCAAGGGAACATGGAGCCATGATGGTGGCAGAAAGAATTTTTAACTCTTAATCCTTATAATACCCTTATGAGAAAATGAAGACCCATAGGGATGAAATGATTTGAAGATTAGATGGCTAGAAAGTGGAAATGCTGGGATTTATACCTTAGCAATCCTATTTCAGAGCTTGTGCTCTGAACCATTATGCTTAGTCTTTTACACAATGATGTCTTATGTTGAAGATTTGAAAAAGAGATATTCATGTACTGTTGATGAATGCATAAACTAGTATGACCTTTTCAGAATAATCTGGTTAAAAATGGTTAAAAGATGTATTCCCTTTGACTCACAATTCTATTTTGAGGAATTTCTCCTAAGTAAATAAACATGAATGTAAATATTTAGATACTAAGATGCTTCTATCATAGTTTTAATAGAGGAAAAGTTAGAAACAAGTTAGTAATACCGATTTAATTTAATCAGCATAATTGTGATGCAGTCATAAAAAAGATATAGACATTAAAAATGAATATAAAGGCCAAATTTTCACAACATTGAAAGTAGAGAATATATGTATAATTTGAAATAATGTTAGTAAATTTTTTTAAAAGACTAGTGAAAGACTGTTGTTTCTTAGGACTGGGTTATTTAGGAGTTTTAACTTTCTTCTATGTCAAGAATTTCAATCAAAAATCAATTTTGTAATTAAACAGGGTTTTTAAAAAATTGTGGTAATATACATAAAATTTAATATTTTAACATTTTAAGGGATTTTAAATTATGCATATTCACATAGTTGTGCAACTATCACCTACTAGCCATCCCCAGAATTTTCTCATTACCCCATTCTGTACCCTATGAATAACTATCCATTCATTCTCCCCTCCCTCCATCCAGTCCTTTGATAGCACTTTTGGCATTTCCAGTCTCAATTAATTTGACTAATCTAGGTACCTCACATAGTGGATTCATATGGTATTTGTTCTTTGTATATAGTTTATGTCACTTAATATAATGTCTTCCAGTTTCATCTATACAAGTAGAATGTAGCAGAACTTTCATTTTTAAGGTTGAATAATATTCTTTTGTATGTATATATACCACTATATTTATCCATTCAGCCATTTGGGTTGTTTCTACCTTCACTACTTTATTTATTTATTTTTAAAGATTTATTTATTTATGCATACAGAACTGGGGTACAGGCTTATTTATTTATGCATACAAAAACTGAGGTCTAGGCCAGAGGTGCGAGGAGGTGAGAGAGCCCCAGAGACAGAATGGGGAGCAGAACAGGCAGACCTACTGAAATACACTGCTGAGGGGAGCAGCGGGCAAAAAAAGGTGAGGTCTGGTGTGGTGTGTGGGTCAGCTCACACACTGAGGGTGGAACTTATACCAATAGCTTGATAGCACTGAGATTTTAACTTCTGTGCCACCAGGGAGGCTCTTCTAACTCCACTATTGTAATTATGTTGCTATTACAAGGGTTGACAAATATCTGTATGAGCCCCTGCTTTCAATTCTTTTGGGCATATACTAGAAGTGGAATTGCTGGATCAGTAGATAATTGTTTAATTTCTTGAGGAAATTTTAACCTGGTTTTTAATTAATGTTTAATCACTTCAGTTTAGAGAATATGCCCTTTTGAAAGGGCCCCAGTATCTGAACAGAGCTTGAGTTCAGACACAAAAGTTACTGCTTAGGTTGGCTGACAAGAGATGATGATAACCTGAATAGCATGCTCCCAGTCAACTAGATGGACAGAAATCTTTCCTGCTGTCAAGTGCTTTCTATAAGGGGAGTCCTAAAGACCATATTCTAGAACTTATCATTAAAAATATAGAAAATGAAGAGTTCCTTACAGAGTTATTTACTTGTAATCATGCCAGAATTTGGGGGGAACAGAGAAAATGGAAATGAGCTGTTTGAAGATTAAGTAGGGGCAGTGATGAAAGGGGAATGAAGAAGGGCCCCAGATAGATTCAGTCCACTGTACCATTAGTTCTATCAGTGTAGTAATCTGAAACACACCAAGGTGTAAGAACAGTGGTACGAATAGCCAACTGGATGGTAGATGGGAGCTTTGCAGACTCTAGTCCCTGAGTGGGGGCTGATGGGAGATAGGGTTGGAGCTGGGGCTTTGGTAGTTTAAAAAGCTGTGGGACTTTTAGTAACTATACTACTGGTAAGAAAATTTGTTTATGGCAAAGTTATCATCTTGGACTTCAGTTTCTACTCAGTGGATGCTATCTGGTATAGGCCAGACAGCATTGGACACATGACAGCCTGTAAGTCCTCTTTCAGCTCTCCCTTTGAAGGGAGTTACCCTGTGTAAATAAATCCTTTTGTTGTTCTTCCCTGAGTGTCTGTGTTTGGATATGTCCTATGTCCTTAAGGACCCAGTTACCCCTTTCTCCTGGTTTTGGTGTTTCAAGAGCTGAATGCTCATGTTTGCCCCTTTTTTGTGGGGGGAAAATACTGAGCTGCAGAAGACCTGTAGGTTTATTTTTCAGAGAATAACAAGGGCTCCATAAAGCCACCAATCAACAACTACAATGCAGTTTCCCAAAGCTCAGTTTACAAATGAAAATTTAATAGCAAAAGATGCCCCTGATTGAACCTCAAGGTTTTGTGAGTAGACTCACTGAATTCTAAAGAGGTGGTTGCTTAGTA